TCTTAAATTGTTTCATTATATTATATATATGTAATTTATTAATTTACCTCATTCCAAAAATATAAATCTTTATCTATATATATTCACTTATTTCTCTTTATCTATATATACTCCATAAATATTAATTTATATGTATTTAGTGTAAAATGTGCCCCCCCTGAACAAAAATTTTGGCTCCGTCCCTGGAAAGGACCAACTTTTTTGTGAGCTAAACATATATGTGTGTGTGTGTGTATAGACATATATATATATTATATCTAAGACGTTAATTAAATACAATTTGTGCTTGATCAATTTGTTTTCCTTATAGTATCCATATTAAGAATGAATTTATGATAACTGTGATCCTGAGTGTTGAATCTCATTCATGCATGTAGCATTGTAAACCTAAACTAAAGAGAAGTATATATTGTAATCTGCAAACTCGTTATCAAGTCTAAATGGTTTGTACTCGAAAATTCACAAGAATTTGATTCTGCATAGGAAATTCACTAGAAATAAATGATTTCTTTTTGAATAAAAGTTAATAATTAAATCAGTTTTTGACTTCGTGGCTCTGCTGCTAGCTTTTTGTTGGTACTAGTAATCTTGAACTAAAAACTTTTGTGTGTGTTATTGATATTGACTTGGGTTCTTTGAGTACATCCAAAAGATTTTTTATTTATTTTTGAAAATGATGTAACCAAAACTCTCTTTTTTGTAAAATAATTATACATATATTTTTAGATTTTACAAAAAAAAAAAATCATTAATTGGTATAAGCTACTTATATTATATGTTATTTTAAAATAACAAAATACATCTTTCCATTAATATAATTAATATATTACAAGTAAGGCTATTTTGGAGACTAATATAAAAGTTATTCCATTCTGAACTTTTTATTTAGCCTAACCAAACAGGAGAATAAGAATGATCATTTCATTCCTACATTATTCTCTATTTGCAACCAAACAGTGGAACGAGAATGATCATTCTATTCATGCTCCATTCTCATTTGCATTCCATTCTTGCCTCATTTCATTCCTGCGTACCAAACTAGGCCTATATTGTATGAAACTATTTTTTTCATACCCTGGCTCGACTTTAGCCACAAGAATTGTCCCGTGTAACCATCATGCATTTCTTTAAATGACAACTTCGCTGAGTTTAGTGGCAAAGACTCTTACCTTATATCTTGGAGATCAAAAGTTTGAATTCCCTTAAAGTCACCTCTAGAAATTTCTCTTGTTAATTGTTCGATACATGTGAGACAGAAGGACCATAAATTATTGGGAGCTCTAAGAGACCCGACACCATTATACACGCTATTTACATTTTAATACTCTCTTCGTCCGGAAATTATGAGTTTTAATATATATATTTTTTATTGTATTAATAATAAATGAATTTCCAAAGAATGTGAAAATGGTAGTTTGGAAGTGTTATAAATAGCATTATATGTATTTTTAAAAGGCTGCGCGTGCTCCACAAAAGTCCAAAGGCGCTCCATTTTTCCTATTTTTCTAAAGTAAATTAAAAAATAAATCCCTAAACACAAGAAGTATATTTTAATACTGAATTAGTTTGGGATCCATCTCCTCTCTCATTTTTTCTCTCCCTCACCATTATGTATATACAAAAGATTGTATCTTTCAAAACTTTATGAATAACAGAGAGGAGGAGTTTTCTATGAATAAAGATATTGGAGTCCAAAACATTCCTTTAATCTTTAAGGCTTTGTTTAGATACATAGGAGATAAAAGAAAAGAAATGATAGTATTAGTTATGAGAGGAAAGAAAAGAAGAGAAATGATATCAATAATATTTATTTATCTTTGGATAGATACAAGAGAAAAGAAAAGAAATGATAGTATTCTTGTTTGGATATAATAGAGGGGAGAAAAGAAGAGAAATAATAACAACCAAATTACTATCATATCCTTCTAAATAGAATGGATATGAGTGGAATAATAATTTTTTCTTTTTAATTGTTGAGGGCACTTTCGGGATTATGAAAATACTACTTAAACACTATCCTTTCTCTCTATATCATTTTTTTTCTCTCATTTTAAACCACTCGAACACACTTAAGCCTTGTCCTTACTTTTATTTTCTTTCCCTATCACTCCAAATCATCACATCCAAATGCACTCTAAGTATAAAAACAATCAAAATTGAAATTACAACTTGTAGCTAAATATTTTTTGAATACTTTCAATATGATCAAATGTTATTTGCCAATTTGTTTTTTGAATAAACGTTTTAATTCTATCTCTTCAACCCTTGTAAACTCAACACTTGTTTGGTAATACACAAATATTTCAATTATATATTTCTTGGTTTTTTTTTTTTTCTACGTAATCTTACGGTGTTTTGATTAAGATATGTATATGTACATGTCATATATTTAAGAACTTGGTTCCCTCCTTTGAGGCCAACTTTAGAACTTGGTCGCGCAGTTTCTCAAAAGGCACGACCATCGGTGAAAGAATAAGAATTCAGGTGAACTTAACAGAACACTTCGAAGGGTACATCTATTGTTCTGTTTGGGTGTCAATCTCACTTGCTTAATCTTGATTTTTTCAATTTGATTTTCAATCCCAATTTTCCTCATCTTCTTACGCATCAATTATGGCACGAGTAAAAGGAGAGAGAGGGATTCGAACCCTCAATAGTTTTTTGTTCAAAACTTGTTGATATTAGTTTTAAAATTCCTTATCATACCATTAATTAACAAATTTAGAGTGATTTGGGATCAGAATTGTGAATTTTCTCTCTAGACTTTTGTATTATGGCCTTATACCTCCATGCAAGAACTTGAGAGATACTTTTGGAGGAAAAAAAAAGGGAAAGAGATGGTGTAATTAGCAAAAAAATATGCAAATAGGAAAGGACAATTATGAGATAGAAAAATATAAGAACTAAACACTGTGTTTTAAGGACTTTCGTGTAATTTTATTTCAAGAGAATAGGAGAGTAAAGTGCCTTAGAACTTTTGTGGAGCCCCAATACACACTTATGCTGCGTTTAGTGTGCAAGAATGGAATGGAATGCCCATTCCAACCATTCCTTTGTTTGGTATGTAATTTAAAATGGGAATGGTCATTCCATTGGAATGAAAATTCATTTCATAACTAAACCTATAAAGTGGTGATTCCATTCCCAAGTAAATTTTTTTAAAAAATCAACTTCCAAAAAAACCCTCATGTTCCAAGTCTAAAAACTATCACTACCTTTCACCACAACCACCTCCTCTTTTCACTACCACCACCGACTTCTACCACTACCACCGCCTTCCACCACGACTACCGCCATCGACTTTCACCACCACCCACCACGTTTCACCACTATTGCCATCGCCTTTCACCATGCCACCACCACTTTAACCACTGCTGCCTTCCACCACCGTCACCACCTTCCATCACCACCGCCACCACATTCCACCATCGCTACCACTTTCCATCACCACCACCACTATCACCACCACCACCACCACCACCATCGCCTTCCACTGCTACCACCTTTTATCACCACTACCGCCACCACCTTCCACGGCCACTACCTTCTACCGCCACCGCCTTCCACCACCTTCTATGGCCACTACCTTCCACCGCCACTGCCTTCCACCACCAGCACCACCATCACTGCCTTTTACCACCATTACTACTATCGTCACTGCCTTTCACCACCACCACCATCGTCATTGCCTTTCACCAACGCCACCACCACTACCATCACCGCCTTCCACCACTACCACCACCACCGCCACCGCAAACGCCTTTCACCACCGCCACCATTACCGCCTTCCACTATCGCCACCGCTACCGCCTTTCACCACCACTACCGCCACTGCCTTCCACCACCGCCGCCATTGCCTTCCACCACCACCATCACCATCACCACATTCACCTTCATTGGCTTTTACCACCGTCACCTACACCACTATCTCCTTCCAACACCACCACACTACTGCCACCGCCTTCCACCAACACCACTGCCACCTTCCACCATTGCTACCACCGCCGCCTTCCAATGCCACTATCGCTTTCCACCTCCATCGCCATCATCACCATCATCCACCACTGCCATTGCCACCATTTATTTTAAAAAAAATTATAAAAGAATGTAATTTTATTAATTTAATTTATTTGTTACTAAGAGAGATATTTTGGAAAACTTAAATTGAAATTTATTCTATTTTAAATTTTAAATTGATCCAACCAAATAATAGAATGATTATTATCATTCCATGTCGACACTTTTCATATTTACAATCAAACAATAGAATGAGAATGACCATTCCATTACATTTCCATTCTTACTTACATTCCATCCTATTTCATTCATGCACACCAAATACAATACTCTTGCATATTTTCTTGTACATGTTGAAATCCTAGTTTTCTCAGCAATCGCTCTAGCTCACCACAAGTTCACTCTTATATCCGCAACCTTTTAAAATGAGAATCAGCAAACTTTTAAAATGTATTTTAAGAAATTCAAAAGATAACCAAGAATTTTAGAATGCACAGAGTACATATCAATTTATTTTATATATTGGGTGTAGGGTTTAGAATCAGATTTACGCAGATCCTATGACTTGTGGAGCCACGTGTTCTTGATATATCCTTTTTTTTATTTGCTCTTGGACCTCTTGGTTGGAGTGAATAATACTAAAATTTAATAAAACACGTACCAAAAAATAATAATAATAAAACACTGAACCACTGAAGTTCATGCGTGTGTATAAAATCTATATACATATATATTGGCGGGACGGGAAAAACCCCGCCCCGCGGTCGGTCATTTGATCAAATACGTCTCAACTTGATCATAATAAAAAAGCGTCCTTTTCACTTTCTTTTCGTCTTCCCCACCTAATCAATTGTGGGCTTCTGTAATATACAAATATATATTCGTTATATTTATTCCTGAGACAATAACAGCTCTTTTCCCCACCATACGTCATAATTACAAATCATTATTGCAGTTTTCTATTTCCACTTTTTTTTTATTACCCTTCTTCTACGTTGTGCTTGTGCCCCTCCCTCTCTCTCTCTCTCTAATGCTCCTACTGGGCTACTCTCTCTCTCTCTCTCTCTCTCTCTCTCTCTCCTCTTTCTCTCTCATCATAGATGATGATGATGATGTTTCATGTTTGTTTTTAAAGCCCTCTGTTGTTTACCCAATTCTTTTCTCACTACTCCTCACTACTTTTATTGAAGGAAATTTGTTGACTCTCCATACCCACTCCATTTTTTTTTTTTTTTTGTGATGGTGGGTTATCTGCACCTTTATTTATTAATTTTTAATTTTTAATATTTATTTCTTTTTTTGGGGGCTTGCCCAAAGTGGTTTTGTTGTTTCAGTGGAGGTTTAGTGCTTGTTTATTTGTATATATTGCCTACAAATCCATTTCTTTCTGTTAACTTGGCAATGCCAGCTTCTTGAATTTCTCTTTTCCTTGCTCATGCTTTGTTGAGATCCAAATTACCTTTTTTTTTTTTTTTTTTTTGGAATTGTTTTTGGTGGTGTGTTTTATTGGTGTGTGTTTGTGAGTCTGTGAATGTGATCTTTTAGGTTCTTCAGGAGATTCAATAATACAAGCAAAGAGAGATGCTGAGAATGAATTCCAGGTCTCCTTCTCCACATTTGAGTTTGCAGCTACAAGGGTAAGCTTTTTAATTGTATGTTATGATTATATTGTTACCAAATTCTCTGTGTATTCTGAGAATAAAGTTCTGCTTCTACTTGCAGTGCTCGTGAAAATGGTCTACTGACCAAGGATGTGCTGAATATGTCTCCTAGACCATCCTACCATTTAAACCCTGTAAGTTTTCTAGCTTAATTACCCACAATTGCAAAAAATTCATGAAAATTTTCTATTGTTCGAATGTTCTGTTGTTTCTTGTTGAAAAGAAATGAAAATTGATACTGGACAATTAAAATTTTGTTAGCTTTGTTGTGTCCATCTGCTGAATGAGATTCAGTTATTTTTCGCGCTGATCATCGTGTTAATGAGTATATGATGCATCAGATTGATTAAGATTATCCTGAACCGCCATTAGGAAAAATGCATTCGAGTGACGTATCCTGCCCTGCATAAAACTGCAAAAGGTTGCGTCTTTTTTTTTTTTTTTTTTTTGTTCTTTTGTTTTTTTTTTGTTTGTTTGAAAAGAGGAGATCTTAGAATTTACCATTAGAGAGTTGAATGTTCGAGTTAAAACCCTCTAAAGTGATCCGTGCTGCTGGGTTGATCTCGGCCCTCCCAAGTGCACCGTGGAATACAGATGTACCGGAGAGGATAGACATCATGACTAGAGAACTTTCCGCTTGTTTTTAAGCTGTTTCGGTGAAGGTCACACCACCTAGGACAAGGGCCCGGTAGGAAAGGTCAAGTCAGATCATCTTGTCATGCTGGTTACTATTGGAGATACCCAAATTTAGCAAATGATTATAGAATTTTTATTCTATGTTGGTATCCACAATGCAGTAAAGTGGATAGAGAAATTGAAGGTAAAGGATATTTTCCACAGGGGAAGACTGAAAATGTTTCATATTTGGGAACTGTGGTTTCATTGCATTGAATTGTGAAGATTAATAGTTTTCTAATAGTAACGAAAGCAGCTATATATAAGACATGTACTTCACCTGATGGAAATGCTTCTATAACTCTGCACAAACAAATCCCAACCATAAAGGTTTACATCTCCTTCCATTGCCTTAATGCACTTTTTGCTTTTTTATTATTATTTTTTTTCCACTTCTTGTTTTCTACATGGATTTTATAATTTGTGAATTGACTTGTAGTTTTGAAAACGTTTCCCCTGTTTTTAGTTAAATCAAGTTTTGTTCGAGTTTCAACTTTTGTCATATCCCCAACAAGTGAAAGTGTTTTTTATTTTGTTTTTATTTTTATTTGCGTGTGTGTGAATTTATTTTCAGTTATTGCTGTGTTTTACCAAATTCGATCCACCAAAGGGCCTCTAGCCAAATGGTATAATTTCTCCTCCCCAAAGGGGAGGTTGAGAATTCAAGTCCCACTAGGGACGTGGATAATGGGTTGTGTGTTTGCTTTAACTTCCTTATAAATAGCTGATATTATCTTCAATTTTGCTGAACTCTTTGCCTATATGTCTGTACATATACATGATATGTTGTATATACCAATATTTATTTGAATTGACCAGTTTTTTAGGGGTCTTAGACTGTAGTGTGGGGTATGAAAAGGTTGAGGTATCGGATTACGTAAGATTATAAGAATGGTGTAACTTTTTATTTTCCTTGGCAAGAAACTTACACACACCCATTTGCCCCTATGAGGACTTGGACCCTCACCTTCCACTTTGAATGGTAGAGAAAATACCATGAGGCTACAACCATTGGCGGTGAATGGTATAACTCACTCATTCTGACTGAATTTTATTTATTGAATATGTAATGATTCCCACTTTTTTTGCATGGGTTTCTGAAAAATTCTACATTTGTGGCGATAGATTATGTTTATTTATTTTATTTGGGTTTTGGAGAATCAATGGAAATAGAATAGTCTTGTGCCTTGTTAATGAAGGAAAGAGAGAGAGAGAGAGAGAGATGACAAATAGTGTCACTAAACATGGTTACCTTAAGATTGATGAATTGTTCACATTCTTCTTACCAAATCACTAAAGTTTTCAACTATAATTCATTTTTTTATTTAGTTATACTCTCTATCTCTTTACACAGGCTGGACGGTTGGAGAGGACATTTTCTGGCCAATCTTCCATTTGTTGGGAATCTGAGAAGGCAGCAGATTTTAGTTCCTTCACTTCCGCTCTTTCAAGTGACACTCCAACAACAAAGGTGTTTATCTTCGATACTTGTCTTCCTTTATTAAAATAAACAACATTCGGGAAAAAAAGAAAAAAAGCAAGAAAGAAAATGTCGAGGTTTATTAAAATAAATAATAAATTGGAAAAAGAAAGAAAGAAAGAAAATGTGTGGGCTTGTATTTTGTGCACATTTCTTTGATTTAGTTGTTTTCATTCCTCTAGGCGAAGCATCATCCTTATCATCATCATCGTCCTTGCCTTAATCCCATATGAATGGGGTTGGCCACATGAATTCGTTTTTTTTTTTTTCATTCTATTCTATCACAAGTCATCTCTCCTCTAATATTTAACTTTTTAAGATCATTTCTAATGATTTCACCCCATGTTAATTTCAGTTGCCCTCTCCGCCTCCTACCCTCTATGCAAATTAATCTTTCTCTTCTCACAGGTGTATCTATAGGTCTTCTGTGTATGTGTCCTTACCACCTAAGTATACTTTCTCTAATTTTATCATTAATACGTGCCACGCCCAATTTCCCCCTCACGTTTTGGTTTGTAACCCTATATCTTCTAGTAACTCCTATCATCCATCTTAACATCCTCATTTTCGCTACATGAATTTGTTGTTCTTGCTTCTTTTTTAAAGCCCAACACTCTATTCCATATAAAAAAGTTGGCCTAATAGCTGTTCTATAAAATTTTCCTTTTACTGTATATGGCATTGTTTATCACACAAAAGGCCACCAGCTTGCCTCCATTTTCTCCAACCTGCATCAATTCTACTAGTTATATCAGCATCTATCTCACCATCCTTCTATATTAATGACCATAAATACCGAATGTGTGCACTTTGTAAAATCTTTGATTTTAAGATGTAATCATTACCTCATTAATATCCGAATTTTCACTAAATTTTCATTCCATCTATTCAATTTTAGTTGTACTAACTGTTAAACCTTTCGATTCTAATGCGTTTCTCCACCTTTCTAATTTAATTGCTAAGTTTTCTATAGAAGTGTCTAGTAGTACTATGTCATCGGCAAACAAGATGCACTAAACAATGTTTCCTAGTAAATCTTTTTTGATCTCATCTAAAGTTAATGTGAAGTAATAATTTAGAATTTACATCGCTTCTCATACTAGCAAAAAAATTTGATGCCATTGCTTCTGCCTACTTTTTAACATTATTTTCAGTAGCTTGACTTTTAATACATTATTATCTTTGGGATCGGTTTGGTTGTTGTTCTTTGTCTTGAAACTCAGCACATAGTTTTAAATGAGAACCGGCACATTCAATTTTTCGTTGCATTCAATTTCTTGAGCATGTCATTGAATTGGCATTATGTGCTTTAGGTGATCGGAAGTCGACTGAGATAGTATAGTAACAATCGAATATAAAATAAGCAGGTTTGTCCTGAACTCTTGGACCCAGAGGAGGGGGAGAATAGGTCTTGGAGAACTTATTTACCAATTTAAAATTCAATTAACAAATTTATCGTTAATCTGGTTATTTTGCATTTAAACAAATTATGATATGTTAGCAGATGTCAATAAATAAAAACAGTAGAAGCAATAATAAATTATACCTAGTTTGCCAAATTAATCTACTATAGAAAGAGATATACAACCTAAGTTTGTTCAGTACTGTAGAACACTTGGTTACAGCTAATTCCAAATCTTCAGCGCCCTCGAAGATCTCGAGGTCATCAACTGATTTGTCTACACCATTCGTTCCACGAACCTGCTTCTTTAGCAATTAATTCTCTGCCACCTGTCCAAGCGAGAATCTTGGTTGATTGCTCGGACAGTGTTGAATTACTCTGAATGTAGCTTGACAACAAATGTATCAACACTCTTTATGCAACTGTTCACCAATCCTATAATGTATGATGAATATTGGAAACAAAAATATGCATTTTTTCTTTCACAAGAAAACTCTCAAAAATATATGGAATATACGATGTACATGAGGTTTTGATCTCGTGATAAAAAGAAACGAAGTGTATGAGCATTTGTAAAATATGAATCAATGATAAAAAGGTCTCTCTAGTCTCTAGGGTTTCTAAGATCATTAGTATTTATGACAACCATTTGAGGTAAATTGGATCAACTCAAAACTCAAGTAGTTAAATTTTATTAGGATTCTATTTTCTGTGGTCCTTGAATGATCGGTGCAACCCTCAATCGAACGCCACTTGTAGATACCAAAATCGACACTTGCTGGAGGTCTCGATAGATATACCACTTGGCCTCAATTGATCGGCATTATGACATCCATAGATCGACAACACTCCAGCATGAAAAACTTTGAGATTTAGAACAATGAATGTGTATGAATGAATCTAATTGGTGAGAGTGCATCATAGTGTGATTTTATCTTTTTACCTTTGTTGACAAGTTGACGGATTAAACCTTCATTGAAGTTCATCTTGATCACGGAGTAAATTTTCATACAACTCACAACTAGGACAAATCTATCTAACTAAAAATAAACTAAAATTACCTTAAACTTGTTTTGATGTACGAAACTTGCCAACCTAGTCCTATTGACCTAATATTAGGATTGCAATTTCTTTATTACTGAATCTTGTATGTTCGTCAAATTCCAATTGAACACTCCATATTTTGCATTGATGTCTTGATCCCGCTGATATTATAATTATGCACCATGCTACATCTAAATGTTTTATTTTTGTTTATTTATTGATAAGTAAGCAGTTTTATTAAATTACAAAACCAACATGTACAAGGAGGTTTAGGAGGCATACCTCTTGAGTGCATGAAAGCCCAATAAGAATACTAGGATAGGAACCCATATACAAAGCAACGTAAAAAGCACCATGGTCATGAAAATCACAACCCCAATAGCAACAACGAAGAATTTGAATCACTGAAACATTCTTATCACAAAGCTTGAAGAAGATTAGTCAAAGTAATTATTTTAATTACTTAGGATCAATTGTACAAAAAGATGGAGATTGATGATGATGTAAGTAGTGGAATTGGAATAGATTGGTCATATTGAAGGAACGCTAGTGGGGTTTCATGTGAAAAGCACCATGGTCATGAAAATCACAATCCCGATAGCAACAACGAAGAATTTGAATCACTGAAACACTCTTATCACAAAGCTTGAAGAAGATGACCCAAATAAGTTCAAGACCAAAGCATTAGTCAAAGTAATTATTTTAATTACTTAGGATCAATTGTACAAAAAGATGGAAATTGATGATGATGTAAGTAGTGGAATTGGAATAGATTGGACATATTGAAGGAACGCTAGTGGGGTTTTATGTGATAAACGAATACTAAATAAATTGAAATGGAAAGTATATGGAACAATGATTGGACCAGGTATGTTATATGGTGTGGAGTGTTGGGCATTAAAAAAAACACGAACAATGCATCCATGTGGTGGAAATGCGGATGTTAAGATGGATGTTAGGAATAACTAGGAAAAATATGATTAATAATCAAAGGATTAGGCGTGGTGCCTGTTAGTGAGAAATTAAGAGAGAATAGACTTAGATGGTATGGGTATATTCAACACCGACCTATAGATGCACCCGTGAGGAGAGGAAGAACAATTTTCATAGAGGGTAAGAGACAAAAAGGTAGACCAAAACTAACATGGAATGAAGTGATAAGAAATTATTTTAAAAACTAAATCTAGTAGAAGATATGGCCTATGATAGAATGTAATGGAAGAAGAAAATCCATGTGGCTGACCCCGTTTGTACGGGATAAAGGCAAGGATGATTATGATGACGACAACCAAAGAGTCACTCCCAGAAAAGGGGGAATTTGGAGAGGAAAGCACCATTCTACGAGACAGGACGGCACCAAAATACCAAACCTAGAATCAATTTGCTGACATGATCTACTAAGCCTAGAAAATGGAAGGGCCGATACATTGGTGAGTTTTGAATTCACATGAGAAATGGCCATTACAGCCAAGAGCCGAGCGTCCCCTTTAAAAAAAAGGGCCGGTTCAGCTTGGCTTGTCCAAAACTAAACAAGGCTGATTCAATTGGTTTTATGCTGTGATTTTGGGTCATTGCTCTATGTGCAACCATGCTGTCTCTAAGCCTCCATATGTTGCTTTTATGGTCCTTCCTCACCTCTTACTCATTTTCAATGTGGGACTTGTATGACAAGGTCCTATTCTCCAAGTCTCCATGTGCTACTTTTATAACTCATATTTCCTCTCTTCCTTACACTTATTGGATGTGGAATTTGTATCACAAGTACCTAACTCCAGACTACATTTCACGACAATTAAACAAGTATAATATTTAACCTTCTCTTGGTTTAAGTATAGGATGGCACGAACATGTGATATATTCTTAGAATGAATTCCCATTCTGTATTCAACAAAACCCAATGAATTGGAAGCATCCAAGTGGGTTTAAGATGAAATATTTTTTGTGGGACCTTAGTAGATTAGATCATTACCTTTCAATTTTCAATCCAACTCTGCACATGTAGTTTGAGGCCTTTTTAGAATAAGTTTATGAGTGGTTCTTTATATTTTTGGTCAATCAAATTAGAATCTCCAATTTAGTTTAGCATAATGGTGCTAGTTTTTTTATTTAAGCAAGAAAAACTCTTCAATTGTTCAATAATTGTAGACATCACATTAAAAATTGATCATAAAATCTCATGCCAAGAAATTATTTTATATGTAAACAAAACCATATACTTTTTCTAATTTATTTTAATTTTCAATCATTTTTTTTCCTCTTATTTTTAAATCTCACAAGTTAAATATCATATGAAATTTCATTTATTTCATAACTGAATAATTTTATTCATTAATTTCTTATAAGATATAATTACTAAGCTTTTTAATAATGACATGGACTTAGAATGCATAGATAGGGTGTGTTAAATGGTCTTCAAAGATTCAATAAAATCACTAAAATTCATTAAAAATCCATTTTTATTGAATTATGGTGTAAAATGTTGGTGTATCAGTGCATTTTGGGCCTTGCATGCAAGCTCGGAAAAAAAACTCACAACCATGATAACCGATTCCGTTACATCATGCTGACGAGGGATTGATTCTATTACACCGCGTCCGCAGATGCAAACAATCGAACGAAATGTACAAAGAAAAACAGCAAGTGTCCATTGACACGTTAAGCAGCCAACAGAACACTGATACACATCAAACAGTAAACTAAACTGTACAAAAGCTAAAGACAGAATATACAAAGCATATTTTGAATTGTAAATAAAAAAAACTCATGATTCACAAAGAGTACTCTCAGGAAGGTCGCGTTCCCTGACCAGCCATCTATTTGACATAGAATTGTCGAATATACCGAAGAGAAAGCCCAGTATCTGATATTCTCACAAATTCAAGTCTCAAAGAGTTGATACCCTTGTTTCCATTTGAAAATAATCTTCTGTTTCTGTCCATCCATATAGCAAAGCCAATATCAGCTTATTTGGAACTGAAACAAGGGTTTTTCCTCTAAGAGTTAAAGAAACCCATCTTCTCAGATTTGACCAATCAGTTATGGACCATTGAAGAGCACCATTGGCTGATATAGTAGCCCACAATCTGTGATATTCTACATAGTTTAGGAGCAGTAAGTGTATATTGCTGACACTGTTTATTGATGGGGGTTATTTTATTAGCATCTCATCATTGGAATTTCTAACTATAATTAGTTCATATAAGTTAACTAAAGTCGGCTTGGCTCATAGTTTTATTTGAGATAGGGATCAATTTGAACTTTTAAAACCTTGACAAAATGTATTATTGGTCTGACTAACTCTTGCTTTGAGGAATTAGATGGAGATTAGGAAATACTTCCAAAATTTCTGGTGCTTAAAATTCATCAAACTTAATTTCAAGAATTTTGATTTTATCTCGAGAAATTTCATCAAAAGTTCAATGATTCTTGACTTCACACAATTGAGATTACTACTTAGGCAAGGACAGCAATTGCATGGTCATCTAAAAAAAAGCTAACATGCTATAATGCAGTAATAGCCTTATTGACGGGTATTCATTTCTTATTTTTGACCATTTTAATCAATGTGCAAGCTTCTTTGCTCCCAGTACTATTGTATTAGTACCTTCTCTTTTAACTTTGACTGGAGTGTCTAATTCATATTCCTTTGCCTGTGGGGTGCAGTCATCTGAAGAACTGACGAAGGAGATTGCTACACTAGAGTTTGAAATTATGAATTTGGAGCATCATCTTCTTTCACTATATCGGACAGCTTTTAAACAGCGTTTACCGCCCATAATGGAGAACCGTGGATCCTGTTTAGAGTATAATAAAGGATCACCACTGCAAGTTATAGTGGATCAGTCATGTTACAAAACAGAGCCTGACATGTGGCAAGGTGGAACTTCTCATCATAACCAACCTTCCCCTGCACATAATTTGGCTGGTTCAGAAAATCGAAATCGTGCTGCTGCTCCAAAATCATCATCTAGAAAGGTTAATATGCCTCGCCACCTAACTATCTCAATATGCTGTATTCTTTATATAAGCTAACATGATTTTGTCTAGCTATGTGCTGTTTCCATAATAATTTCCCTATTACTTAATGTGTTTCCTGAAGGAATTCTTTTAAATAACAAGAACTGTCCATGGTGACCAGTTGCAGGACCATAAGAATCCTGATTCTGGCCACCATAGCCTTGCTGATCACCTTGGTGCTTCTCGCATCGATGATGCCCTTGATACTCCGGATAGACTTTCTGAAGAAATTGTCAAATGCATCTCCTCAATTTACTGCAAGCTTGCAAACCCCACTTCAACTCATCCAGGCTTTTCAGTTTCTTCTACTTCCTCCTCATCCTCCTCAAGTACTTCCTCTACCAGAAATCTTTCTGATAGTTGGAGTCCACGTTGCAATGAGGAAGCTACAGGGCATTGCCAACTTCAAGAGTTGAAAGAGGAGAGTGGATCATATGCTTCAATGATAGAAGTTCTCAAAATATACTTAGATGATGATAGTTTCAATTATGCTGCTAGAATGCTACAGGATTTCAGGTAGTTTCAGTTGTTACCAATTATTTTGCAATTTGAATAGATCTGCTAATCCAAATTTTTGTCAATTTTTATTCCATCTAGAAATATCGGGTTCTTGTGCTAACAGATAAGGGACTGTCTGGAAATCCCAGAATAGGACCAAACCCAGTTTGAGCATGACCTTTTCCTTATTATCTGTTCTATAGAAAATGCTAACATGTATGGCCAAATAGCACATAAAGTTTTCAATTCTCAGACCAATTATGAGTTGGTTAGCTTTTTACTTTCTTAAGGAAAGAAATACTGAACCACATTGCCTTAGACTGACCATAACTGTTCAACACACAAACAGCTCCTCTAATTGGGAAGATGGGGAAATCTTAGATACTCTGTAAGACATGAAATACCATCTTTAAGGGAATAATTCTTATCATCCTTCCAAAAGTTCTCATCTGTTCTACATTGAAAGCTGTGCAGGTCCTTGGTTAAAAGTCTTGAGAAGATTGACCCAAGGAAGATGAAGCGTGAAGAGAAGCTTGTATTTTGGATCAACATTCACAATGCCCTGGTGATGCATGTATGGTTTACAGAATTTTGAATTTTCCTCTTAAAATTAGCTTATTACTAAGCAAATCTCGATTTCTCAAAATGAATTGTTAAATAAACATTTGAAATAAATTGTGGAAATTCTGGTCTCATAACCATGAATTGAGAAATATTCCTCTTGCAAACTTTTGTACAGCAAGCACTGTGTTAGCCAAGTTGGATTTTTGCTTATACTCAACTCCAGTTAACAAAGTCTTTATCCCACTAATTTAAATTACTCCTCCGTCCCAATTTAATAGTTCATAATTCTTTCTTGGGCTTTACCGAAATACTTGTCCCATTTGCAAAGTCAAATAAATTAGATAAATGCATCTTTCCATAAAGACCAGCTCATGCGATTAAACTACTGTTTGCGTGCCTTTTGTTGTATATACATATCTTGCATGGCTCACAAGATTTTCCTTACAGGCATATTTAGCATACGGAACTCATAGTCATGCAAGAAGTACTTCTATTTTGAAGGTAAAGCAACACTTTTGCCTTTTACTCATTGGTTGCCTATGTAATCTAGCAGAATGCATCTATTCAGCAAATATCATTTTGTCAGTAACAATTTCATCTTTCAGGCAGCTTATAATATTGGTGGGCAGTGCATTAATGCTTATGTCATTCAAAGCTCCATTTTAGGAATCCGGCCACACTATTCAGCCCCGGTATGCCTTTTATTTTAAGTGTGTATATAAAAGTTTTTGTGTTCACATATAAGCATGATTATGCATGAAAAGGAGTAGCATTGTTGTTAACCTATGACTGCCGTCTCTTTATGTCATTTGATTGCGGAGAAGTTCGTAAGAAAAGAAAAGAAAATGGTGCTTATTTATAACTCAGGTCTGAATCTCGACCTGTTGAAGGTTCCAACTTTCCTATGCCTTCTCAGCATATGTGGAGAGTTTTTTATTGGACCATTACCAGAAAAATGGTGGCTGGTTTGGACACCTTGCCTTGAGGATGTAGTAAAATTACACTAGAGTGAATAAGAAAGGAATACTCAGCCAGGACTTATGCAAGTGGGTAATTTAGGCCTTTTATAGGCATTTTGCACTTGTTTAGGCCCTCTGTAGCTAATCTGAGCCACCTCTATAAGGCTGCAAGTTGTAGGGGCCTGCTGCCTTGTCGAGGACGCAATGTTAGCCATAATTGGGCCTGCAGATTTATTAATAATGAGACTGTAAGTTGGTGGGTTCTTGTTGTGTGAACCACTTATTCATGTCTTAGGCAACAAACAGTGCTCTTCTCCCTCTTTGATTGGTAAAGAAACAAGTGACACCTTGTGGGAGTATGTGGCTAGCGTCAGGGACAGCAACTTTTCTGAAATAGGCTAAAATGTGCATGCAGACTAAGACAGGAACCTATACCATAGTGGGAATAGCATACATCAGTTTCTGATTTTGCTGCACGAGAGTTGCCACGTGCTGCCTTTGTGGAGTGTAATTTGGTATGTTTTCACAAATTTGCCTCAAGGAGGCTGATTTGACTATCCACATTCGATTATCAAACCAATGCGTTACATTTTCAGCAGAGTAGGTGGTAATTGATCATCATGTGAATCCCATTGACATATGGCTGCACAACCATATCCAAGACATGGAAATACTAGAAAGTATCAACTCAAGTATAACCTTAAGTCAGTCTCGTTGATCAGTTGATACCTTTTATACTTTTTAGACAAGACACTTAAATTCTTTGTCTAATGCTAAATTGCCTCATTGTTTGACACTTTTCTTTAACACAACATGAATGCAGTGGCTACAAACACTGCTGTCTCCAGGAAAGAAGTTGAAGACGGGAAACGTCAAACATATATATGCCATGGAATACCCTGAGCCACTTGTTCATTTTGCACTCTGTTCAGGGGCATACTCTGACCCTGCGGTATGAGTCTCTTTTTTGAGATTAGTCACTTCCATGATAGCAAAGTTTCCATTTCAAACGTTATCACACACACACACACACACACACAGACACACACATATACATATATTAATGGGAATATAATAGATATTGATGACACAAGTTAATGGATGTAGGTTCGAGCATACAAGGCAAAAAATATATTTCAGGATCTCAAACTTGCTAAAGAAGAGTTCATACAAGCTAGTGTCTACATCCACAAGGAAATGAAAATTTTCCTGCCAAAAATCATTTACTACTTTGCCAAGGATATGTCACTGAGTGTGCCTGCACTCTTGGAAGTGGTCAATGGGTGTCTATCAGAAGTTCAACAGGCAGCTGTCAAAAGGTTCGTGAAGGGTAGGCCCAACAAGTACATTCATTGGTTGCCGCAGAGTTCTACTTTTCGGTATGTGATCCATAGATAGCCGAAGGGAGAACATCTATTTGATCATCTCTTTTTTCTGTTGTGTAAGTACGAATAAAAGAGAGAATAATTTGAAGTGTATAGAGGTCCAAGGTTGAGAGAAGTTGATGAGGTGCACGCCGTGTTCCTGTTGAATCTCAGTTATGGATTCATATATATAGGCATGTTGATTTATTGTTAATGATGCTCATCAACTTTATAAGCTTGTCGAAGTTTTTGCATTGTCAATGAGAAACTAAATACAGAACATTTGGGCCGCCTCGGATTAAAATCACAACCGAGTATTTCCCAGGGCCTATAAAAAGCGACTTTGGTTGGAAAATTCCTCAAGGTCTTTTTCTCTTTATATGTATATTAATATTAGTGATGAATTTATTTATTTATTTTAATTTTTGTTCTCACTGGAAAATAACTTCTATTATATGATTTTTCTCTGAAATATTGTTGCCCCATTGGTGAAGATTGGCTTTTCTTCATGAGTATGGAGTAAAATCTATCTTGAGTTGGAAGGTTAGGTAACTAGTTTAATTCTTCTTGTATTCTTGTGCATACGAGTTTGAGAGTAGTATATGAATTCTCTAGGTATGGAAATATGATTTTTCTTTGACTTATAGGAAGGAAGAGACATGTAGGTTACATTTTGTGAGGTTTTTCTGTTGGGTAAGCTCCGTACGCGAATTTGTGACTAAGAATTCAATTTTTGTGTACACAAAATTCGCGAATTCAATTTTTGCAATTCACGAATTTGTTTTCCTATTTCGTGATTTCCATACAAATTTACTTTATATAGCTAAATTTGTTAGAGTCCCAGTGATATGGTATACCTATATTATCATATATGCATTTATTACTTAATTTTGAAAAAAAGTTAGCTTATACGCTTCTTTTAGTGAAAAAAGTTAGCTTATTTATTACATATATAATTAATGGAATAAATAATCATGAAAATATTTGCATTTAGATTTAAATAAATAAAAATATATATGTAATATAATTTTATTTAAACAAAATATAACAAATCTCCCGCTCTAAAAAAATTTAAACTTTGACGCTTTCGCGCTCCCGTTTCCGCTCCTGCTCCCGCTTTGTGTGACTTAGGATGCATTTGGTAACTATTAAATCACTTTTAATAATAATCAATTTTAGTAGAATTTTTGAATGAAAATTTTTTCTATTTTTCAAAATTGCAATGTGAGCAGAGGTTCTAGGTTTTATGTTTTAGGTAACTTTTTTTTTCTTTGATAATTTTATTTTATTTTTATTTTTTGTAAAAGACAATTTTACCCCTGCTTTGTAAATTTATTATTATCAAGTATAACATTTAATTAAATGACATTATTATAAAATTAAGAATAGAAGTGCTTTAAAAAATAGGGTAAATTAGCTTCAGATCCCTAAGGTTAGGTTATTTTTCAACTAGATTAACATTTTGGTTTTAGATTTAACTTATATTTGAATTAGTAGTTTAACATTTCACTTGTGAAGTTTTTCTGTTAGACTAAAAACTCGCATTTCAATAGGTTAAAAGCGTTTTTATTTCAAAAAATATATACATATATATATATTTAGATGCCTGTGTTAACCATTAGTCACTTTTACTAGAATCAATTTTACTAGAATTTTTTAATGAAGTTAAAATTTTCTAGTTTTCAAAATTGCAATGCGAGCAAAGGTTTTATGTTTCAGGTAACTGGTTTTTCTTAGATAATTTTATTCTTTTTATTTTTTGTAAAAAACAATTTTATCCCCTTTATAAATTTATTATTATCAAGTATAACATTCAATTAAATGACATTATTATAAAAATTAAGAATATAAGTGCTTTAAAAAATACTATTACCAAATAGATTAAAAAATAAATTAACTGGGAAACGTACTTAACATATTACCAAACACTTTATCGGTTAAATTAAGCAATTGATGACAAATTATCTCACTGTTACTAATCAAAGAAAGTAAAAACCAAATTTAAGCATGGCGTGGTATTACCGACACTAATATTTTTCATTTGAAGGTTGAACAAAGGGGATAACAATTTTGTGTACCGATGAGATAAAATCACCATAAGGAGAGAAAAAGGAAAATGACTCAGAGAGAGGGGGGAGAAGAAGATGATGATGGGAAAAATCTGAAATAATGTGAAAGATAGAAAATTAGGGAAATGAAAATTAGGGCTTTTATGGAGAAGAAGAAAAGGAAGAAAAGAAGGAAAATCAGAGGAGGGTACACATAAACAGAATACTCACAAGGGTTACAGCGAGATTTGCCTCTGTAGTCTCTTCCCTTTCATCGTATTTCTCAAGCCTGAAAATAATATAGTTCTGTTGCATATTATATGATTTTTACGTATAAATGGCGTCAGAGTTCCATATTATTGTTGAAGTCAAAGTCCTTTACTTTCAAGAAAATGAATTTGTTTTAATAAATGACATGGCACATTAAATTTTACTGTTTAAAATATTGTATTGTTTAAAATACCCTTCTCCATATTCTAACACATTTACCTTTCTCCCTATTCCAACACATTTATCTTGTTGCCCTATTTATTTACTTATCCAATTTAAGCAATATATGGCCAATAAAACCCTTATTCGTACGCCCTCTCTCTCTCTCTCCCTCTATGTAACAACGAAGCCTCTTTATAACCAGCGAAGCAACAACCCCACTTCTCCACTTCGTTCCTCTGTCTTATTCACTTCATTTCTCGATTACTTAATCTATGCGGTTTTAAATCAAGCTAGAGCTAGGGTTTGTCTCTCTGTCCTTCACTCTCTCTCTCAAGAACCAATCTAGGATTTGAGGTAATTTTTCATCTAATTTCTGTGCATAATCTGTGATTCTATATGTTTTCTTTTGGGTTTTTCATCTATTTTGCGCATTTAATCCAAGATTGCATATTCAATCCAATTTATGAGCATATTTACATATACAATTTTCAATTCACAACTTGTATTCTAGGTCTGTGACATTATATAGATACAAATTGTTGATACTTGAATTTTATTTTCAAAGAAGGTAAATATATGTTTGGGTTGACCAAAAGTTTTTTTATTATCTAACTAGGTCCTTGTTGTTGTTAGGGTTCCTGTGTCTGCTTTGAGGGTATGCCCTCATTTTTTGCCTTATACTATACCATTCCATTTATAATTTGTTTTATTCATTTAGGGGGAAAAAAAATTAAAGATTTAGATGTAACCAATTCTAAATAACTTTTAAATTTTTAGCTAAAAGTTAAATAAAATTACAGACTCAAGCTTTTATACTAAAATTAACCAAATTAAATTCCATTGACTAAACAGTTTATATTCTTGCATTTTATTTGGAAGACATATGCCCTAGGGTGTTTACAGTTTTGAGTGCTCAGATTGCAACTCATTTATTCCTTGAAGAAGAGTGGTCCCCCATTGATAAATTAGTTTGAATTAAAATATATACGAATAGTACATAAAAAGAGTTGAAGAAAGTAGATAAATTTTTGCATTACATGATTTGCCCATTAAGGCAGATGGTCAAACATGCGAGGTGTTAACTAGAAAAAAAATAGATCTTAGATGCAAAAATTGAAGCTGGAACTTGAGACAGTTTAGATTCTTTAGAAGCTGATAATTAGGATACGGGTTTGGGATGTTGACTCATAGTAGGTCCTGGATTACTAAATCTTGATGGTATTTAAATGTAATCAGCTTTTAGGTTATTCCACATCCTTTTGAGAAAATCTTCTATGCTTTTCAATGATGCTTCCAAAAATAATTGAGTTTCAGAGAAACAGTTGAAGGGATTGAAGTATGTGTCTAGTAAAAAGAAAACAAAAGGTTACTCTCTTATTTTGTTGATGGCAGTTTCTATGGGTTCTAACGATGAGTTTTGTTTTTCTTAAGAAACTATTGGGTATATTAATGACATTTCTTGTAGGAACTGCCATAATATTTTTTCTTTCTTAGAACCCTTCTGCTTGTGACCAACGGGTCAATGGCCTAGCGGTATCAGCCTCTTATTTTTCAAAGGGAGGTTAGGGGTTCAATTCTCAGAAGAGACAAGTGTGTATGAGTACCAATTAGGAAAAAAAACTTTCTGCTTGTGCTTATTTATAATTTAACATTTTTTGTTCACAAACCACCTTTGTGTTTTTTCGAATTTTGGGCATCCTTTAATATTATCTTGCTATAGTTTATTTATTTATTTATTTATTATTATTATTATTATTATTTTGTGTAAAGATTTATCCTGCTATAGTTAGGGCTGCAAATGAATCGAGCTGTTCGTGAACAGCTCGGGCTCGTTCGTGAAGTAAACGATCCGAGCTTAAACACATTTTTTAGGCTCGTTTAGTAAACGAGCCAAGCTTGAGCAACGCTAAGCTCGGCTCGTTAGGCTCGTGAACAGGCTCGTTTAGTAAAATGATTAATTTTTATTTTATTTTATACTAATATATAATTGTGTGGCCCATTTAATATAATGCCAGTCTAAATACCTATTCATTAGCCCAATTTCATTTAACTTAAGCCCAACTCACCTTAAGCCCAAATCTACTTAACCTATTACCCTATCATCATTATATATATATATATATATATATATATATATATATATATATATTATCTATCTTTATATTAGGGGTTCGTCTTTATAGCAGCCGCAACATCGTTTCTTCCTCTCTATCACGCCATCGCAACATTGCTTCCTCCTCTCTACCACGCCATCGACTGTCTCCAACAAATCTCTGTAATATCTGCTATTAAACCCTAAACAAATCTTGCAACATCACTCCTCTAATCCCATCCCTTTCAACATCAATACAGCATCATAGAGTGTTTCCATTAGATCTCTCTCTCAAAATCTCTTTTTGGGTCTCGATGTCGCAATCCCATTTTAATGTAAGGAAGATTTGAAGAATGATCGGAGAGCTCTTTTGATCCATCGTCAAAACAGTACCAGATCTGAAACTTTTTATTTTATTTATTTTATTTTTTTATTTTTTATTTTTTTTCATTTTGGCTTGAATGCGAGCCCGAGCCTAGTTTGGCTAAGCTCGCTCGAGCTCGAGCCCGAGCCCGAGCACCCTCCTGAAATTGGCGAGCCGAGCTCGAGCAAGGTAAAGCTCGGCTCGGCTCGGCTCGACTCATTTGCAGCCCTAGCTATAGTTGCATAAAAAAAAAATATGAACATTTCAGACAATGTCATGTAGACTTCTATTACACATCAATTTCATAGAATAGATATTGAAAAAGTAGATACATGGATTTTAAACCAGTGGAAAATGAAAAATAACCTACTTTACTCCAAAGTAGATGCTCCCTTTTGGCATTGAGGACACCTATTTTGTTGATTGATCTAGGAATCATGCATGAGATGTTAAAAATAACATCCCTTCTCAGTAGATGCTCTGGCTCCCTCTTAGCTTTAGGGGCACCT